GGATCACAGTAGAGTCAGCACTGACCGGAGAGACAGCTCTCACTGACAGCACTGTAGGATCACAGTAGAGTCAGCACTGACCGGAGGAGAGACAGTTCTCACTGACAGCACTGTAGGATCACAGTAGTCAGCACTGACCGGAGGAGAGACAGTTCTCACTGACAGCTTTGTGGGAGCATAGTGTTTTCTGTGCTCTTTTGTGGAGAAACAGGTTCTGACCCCAACCAGATGGTGAATGGCTGATTTGGTGGGATTTTAAAGCAGTATTTTCTTGGTTGGAGTTAGCCGAATATAGTCTGAAATCATTGTGTTGCTGTGGGTCGTTGGAGCAAACGTCTTCTGTGTTATGCTTAAACAGATTCTGGCCTGGATCACACATTTCAAGGTTGACCCGTTTAATTGCTGACATGTTTATCATGTAATTCTGCAGCACATTGCTGAATTTGGACTTTGCACTTTTAGAATCAAGGTTTCCAAAATTCTGATGGTGTAGATTTAGTGTGGACAGCAGTGTGTGGAGCTCGAGTGTACCCGCTGTGAGGGAATGACGTCGGCATGGTTACCTGTGGCTGCTTGGGATGCTGGGATAGCAGGACCGTTGACCTGAAGATCTGCCCCATGCACACCTGCTCCAGTCATGTGACCCGCAGGTACGTCTCCGTCCCCCACCTGTGGAACAAGCACATGATAATATCCCACCAGGAACAGAGAGAGGTGGACTGCCAGCCTGCGCTAGTGACCCTCTTCAAACTTTCCCGTCAACCCACTCCTCCTCTTCCTCGCTCACCTCCTCACTCGCCAGCCACGTTCTGCCACTAGCCCTCCTCCAGGGGCTCAGACAGGAGGCAGACTAGGCTGAGCATCAGAAGAAAAGTATCGCTCGTGCCTACAGCACATTTACTATTACTATCAGGAACATCACAGTCTTTTGTAGCAGGTGCTCTTGAACAGGCATGGCAGGTTAGCATGTCACAGCAGTGATGATCACCAGGGGCTCCCTGCTGTGAAAATGGCAGCACGGGGCTCCTGCTGGAATCAGCTCAAGCTGTAGGTCTGTGACTCGCACTTTGTGTCTGGTTAGAGATGTTGTGCTGTGGGACTCTCTCCTACCCTGGGCCATTGTGTGAGCCCCAGGACTTGATCAATATAGCACCCAGCCCTCAAGTTGCTCTTGCTCACTACAGGTGGGGTTTCGGTGGGGATCAGACACTTCTGCTCAAATGTTCACACTAGAACCTCCCTATCGGCGGTCAGCTGTACTCTACAGTTAGCAGATCTGTGCCACACTTGGTCAACACACAAGCCTGACTCATCTTCACAGAGGACTGAGCTCCTTGCATGCCCAGTCTACCTGAGGTTCAGCCTCCCAGAAACGAATGGCACGAACATGCTATTCTCTTGAAAACTGGGACATATTTGTTCACCAGGCGTGACATTCGACAGGCAGAATCACCCCCATTACCTGCGCCCAGTCCACTCCTCCACCCGTGAGGTCATTCAGAGCTCACACACCAGCCAGAGATCGGAGAGAGTGTATCATCAATTAAACAAAATGACAAACCTATCATTTAATCAATTTCCAAAATATGAATACTTTCTTTAAAAAAACACTGTCAAAAATGCTGTCTTTGTTTGATGCTACAGAGAGCAGCTCTGACAGGCCCTGTGAAGGCACTGATTATATACATAAAGATTACAGAAGAGATGATGGCCAGATCACTCACCCAGCCCGTTTGCTTGTAGTTACCTACCAAGCTATTGTAGTTACTCAGTAGAAATTTGATCTGACTATCCTATCCTACTCGTTCCACACCCTCATCCCCCTTTGTGTAAAGAAGTGCTTTCTGTTCTGACTGGAGAATCTCATCCAGCTGTTTCTTGTTAGAAAAGTGTATCAGCTTCAACTACGTTGCTTGGCAACTTGTTCCACACCCCCACTATCCTTTATTTAAAGAAGTGCCTCCTGTTTTCAATGCGCTTGCTGTAGTTTGCACTGGGGTCCTCCGGCTCGTGTTTCTCTACTCGTTAGGAACAGAAATGTTTGGACGGAGCCCGGATTTGGGATTATTCGGGATCCTGAAAGCATCACGACTGCCCCTATCCCACCTCCCCACACCACTCACCAGTCTGGGGCTGGTTGGCAACAGGCTGCCTTTCTTCAGCAGCTCGGAGAGCAGGGGCGAGGGGGGCGGGGTGACCTTCTGCCCCAGGACCTTCTTCTGCGGGGAGTCATCTAGGAGAGGCCCCAGGCTGGGCTCCAGGGGCCCGGGGCCTGCTGACTCTGTCAGGGGCATGAAGACCGGCGCCCCAGGGGTCTGTGGGGAGGGGCAGGGAGGCAGGATCAGCAGTTGTAATCATATCCGGAGACAGAATGCAAGAAGAGGAGGGGAAACAGGGAAAGAGAGAGGGGGCGCAGGCGAGAGAGACAGGGGGAAGGGGGCGGGGGACAGACTCACGCTGGCGCTGGCCTCCTCGGGGACCGGCTGGGGGGGGTCGGCCATGGGAAAGTCCAGGCCTGGGGAGCTGGAGCCCAGCGGAGAGCGAACCGTCACGCTGGGGACGCGCTTAGGGGTGTTCTTCACTGCCTGCCGGGCTGCAGACACAGACAGAGGTGGAGACAGGAGTCAGGGAGGGGAGGACCGAGCGCCTCCTATTCCACGGTGGCAGAGATCTGAGGACAGTTGGGGCAGGTGCTGGCTGGCAGGCCGGCCATCCCAATCCCGGTCCTGCTGGCCCACGTTCCTGCTGGCTCTCATTCCCGCCCGGCTTAATCACTTTCCTGAAGCTTCACTGAACCAACCAGACACTCGAGCAGAACGCTGGAAAGGCTTTTTTTTATATATGCAGTGTTTTCCCCCTTCACTTTTTCACACAGGGCCATGTAGGTTTGGATTTTTTTTTCCCCTTAATAATAATAACCTTCATTTAAAAACTGCATTTTGTGTTTACTTGTGTTATCTTTGTCTAATATTTCAATTTGTTTGATGATCTGAAACATTTCAGTGTGACAAACATGCAAAAAAAAAAGAAATCAGGAAGGGGACAAACACTTTTTCACACCACTGTATATATACTCGGAAGTTTGGGGTTTGATCTTACTTATGAAATGCAAAAGAGAAAATGAACTCTCCAGCATGTTTAAGGGTTGAACACGTTCAAGCGGTTTAATTTGATCCTAAGTCGACTAACGGTTCAGCTGAGCAACTGAGCGCTGGGCTGGAACGGAAACCAGCAGGGATGAGCTCTACATCTCCAGCAGGACCAGGACTGGGGTCCCCTGCTGTAGCAGGACCGACAGTGGGCGTGTCCCTGTACTGTACCCTGATAGGCTGCATCTGTGGCCTTCCGCTTCAGCTCCGCCTCTTCCTCGTCCTGTTTCTTCTTCCTGGAGGCGGGAACAGTAACCGCATCAGTGACGCCGCCACCGCCTGCCGACCGCGCCACAACCACAATCAAATCACAGACATCTCCTGAGCCAGACGCACAGGCAACGAGACCCAGGCAAGTACACAGAAGGACAGGCGGCCTTTCACAGACACTGGGAGATGGACAGACTCACAGGACGATCTCCCCCCACAGCTCCTCCAACTTGTTGTCCAGATGTCCAGCCTGGATTAGTTCTGCCTCCTTCTTCAGCTTCCTGCAGGGAGAGACGCAGTAAGAGTGGACTACAGTGAGGACCATCAGGTCACAACACAGCACAGCATACAGGGACACAGGTTAGAGTAACAGTACACAACAGCACAGGCTACCAGGACAATACTGTAGAAAACAGTGTAGAGTAATATTACACAACAGTTCAGGCTACCAGGACAATACTGTAGAAAACAGTGTAGAGTAACATTACACAATAGTTCAGATTACCAGGACAATACTGTAGGACACAGGATAGAGTAACAGGACAAAATAGTACCTGTGCAGTTCCTGAGTGTCTTTGATCAGCCTCTTGAGCTCATCTATCCTCTCTGCTGTCAGTCTGCGCACAATCACGTCCTCCACAGTCTCCACCACCTCACCCTTCTCTCCCCTCTTCCGCCTGAGAGAGACACAACATTACACAACACTCCTGCACTGTCTCCCCACCACCTCCCCCGAGACACAACACAACACCGCACTCTCTCTCCCTCACCCCACCCTGCTCACACCCGAGACACAACACAACAACAAGGCACTCTCTCTCCCTCACCCCACCCTGCTCACACCCGAGACACAACACAACAACAAGGCACTCTCTCTCTCTCCCTCACCCCACCCTGCTCACACCCGAGACACAACACAACAACACACTCTCTCTCCCTCACCCCACCCTTCTCACACACCAGACAACACAACACCGCACTCTCTCTCCCCCACCCCCACCTGCTCACACCCGAGACACAACACAACACAAGAACAAGGGATGGGGAGCTGCACTCACTTGGGCGTCTCTGTGGTCTCCAGCAGCTCCGAGTACTGGGAGGCACAGTGCTGAGAGAGACAGACAGGAAGGAGGAAAAACACACTACCGTCACGGCGCTGAAGAGGTCGAGGAAACACTGCAGGAGAACGAGCATCACTGTGTCTCCTACCTTCTGAGAGAACCAGTCCGGAGGGCGGCCTGCTTCTGCAAAGGGCTTGATGGCTCTGCTGACCGACACCCTGGCAGAGGGAGATGTATCTGTTACTGTGGAGTTAACTGTACCTGCCTTGTGAACACTGCGGCTGATCGGTCACGCCAGTGAAGCTCTTTGAATCTGATAGGCTGGGAGAGAGAGAGGATGAGGAGAGACATGGAGACGGACGGAGAGGAGAGGGGGGACAGCTGGAAATTGAGAGAATGAGAGGAGAGAGACGGGGACACAGGCAAAGGAGAGAGAAGGGAGAGGAGCAAGAGGGGACAGTTCTGGAGGGAAACTGTCTGGCAGCCATGAGCGCCAGACAGAGAGACAGGAAGAAAGAGCCCCTCTTACCAGTTCTGGTCTCCACTCCTCATCACAGACGAGGCCAAACACAGCTTCTCCCTCACAGACCAGGGCTCTGTGGGGCCCAGCGACATCAGCTTGTGCTCTGGAGAGAGTCGGGGAGAAGACAGGGGACAGGGCAGAGAGAAGATAGGAGAGGACAGGGGACAGGGCAGAGAGAAGATAGGAGAGGAGGGAGAGGACAGGGGACAGAGCAGAGAGGACACAGGAGAGGAGGGAGAGGACAGGGGACAGGGCAGAGAGGACACAGGAGAGGAGGGAGAGGACAGGGGACAGGGCAGAGAGAAGACAGGAGAGGAGGGAGAGCACAGGGCAGAGAGAAGACAGGAGAGGAGGGAGAG